TGTAAACTGTTCCAACGATAGAACTGTTGTTAACCCCACGAATCAAATAGTCCATGACGAACCTCTGCCAAGGAGGCGGCTGTTCTAAAAATTACACTTTATTGCTCTGTATTTGCTGCTTTACTATTGTTTTTTTTACCTAGTGGCGGGATAACAAAATAGGGCTTTCCCTCCAAAGCAAAGTCTTGCCTAGGAAATAATTTTCCAGGAAATTAGCAGAGCCTTCGAATGACATGAATTAGGCACCAAAAGCTGAAGAGAACACACTGCGTGCCAGCGCTTTCTTAAACAGCAGTAACTTTATTGCCCACAGATAATGCAAACATTTTCCACCCTTGCTGCAATTCAGCAAGTTACCTACTTAACAAGGTTCACAAAAACTAGTTATTTCAGAAGTACCCTATTGTTCTTTGAGCATATTCTCATTGAAGGTGTTTATTATTGCTCAAATCTACAGTCTGGTTGTGATTGGCCACTCAGTCATGAGATATGCAGAATTAAAGATGATACAGGACTTTCAGGAATCCATTTTTTTTTAATTAGAAAATATACCTGCTTGTAGGATAGAAAACAATCCAAAGTAACAATATTTGAATTTCTGAGTCCAGACTTTGTTCGGGCACAATACATCAGGATTAACTTTAAAGCAGAATGGAATATCAATAGAAAAAAATACTGTACATTGATTTTGAGAAATAACATCTCAGCACAGATTGAGTGTTCACACTAACGATGCTGTAGTGTCCTCTAAAAACCCCCCCAAAATAAATAGGAAAAATGTAATTGGTGTTACACCAAATAAAAGCTTTGAAGGCAAAAAACTGAAAACATCTCTCTTAGTCCCAACACAATAACTCCAGAGAGTGTCATCGACTGCTGTTCTCTTACTCTATTAGGGCACCTCCCCCAAAATGGGGATCTCCTCGTTTCTCTCCAACGAGAGCAAATGTCCTATCTTCTAGAACCAGGTCCTTACATAGAATACATTTTTGAAGGAAAAGGAGGAAAAAGGCGTAGCCAGGGCTTGGACTTGCCTCTGCAAAGCTTTTCCTAGCTGTCAGTGTAAAAGCAAGGGATGGGAGACCTGGCTGTGTCTTTCGCAAACGAACGCTCTCACTTTACCTCTCGATAGAAGGCGGCTGCGCAAGTGTTAAATTTCAGTTCGCTGCAATTTTCCCCCTCGCATCCTGTCTAAAAAAGGAATTTGGATTTAAAGGCGACAGTAAACCACACACGTACGTAAAGAGAAAGTTTTGCCGTTTTAAAGTCAGTACACCAAGAAAATCAGAGAGACGACTAATTCCTGGGATAGGGGAATAAAGGGTGAAACTCTTGCATGGCAGCTGGGGCACGACGGTTCTGGTGTTCATGTGGCAAGTAACACTGTTGTGTATGGATTTAATGCACCAGAAGCCACATGAAAAAATAACTAAGAAATGATTTAGTGGGTATTCTCAACAGAGACATTTAGCAGCACAGAAACAGAGGGACCTTCCTCCCCTCGCACACTATAAAATCCTGCTTTACACTAACATAACACTGCATAATCTCAATTCCACTTGTTAGTGCCAAAATGATGCATATCTCTTACAAATGGCCAAATTCACAAGCAAAACATTTAAACCAGAAATTGTTTAGGTCTACATTTATTGCAGATATTAAAAGATTAACAATGCTAACATGTTTACTTACACTAAAAAGAAATGTCAGTTATCCAATAACATAAGCATCTAATTGTTACTAGCTTAGCACTACTGCCAATTTGCACGGAACAGAAACTAGCAAATTGCTCTACAAGATTAATGGCAAAAAAACAACCAAAAGACAGTAGACACACCACTGAAGTTAGTTAAAATGTTCACTGAAGCTTGCAGTCTTCATGGAAGAGAGCCTGGAACTAAAATAACAGAAAAGAAGCTAGTAAACTTTAAACAAGGCAATGTAACTGCATAACAAACGTTTCACATGTACAAGTATTTAAAATTTTCAAATCAGAGCTGCCTGCAAAAGCAGGTCAAAATAAAAGGAAATTCCTTTTGCGAAAGGAGCGTAAGGTCATCTCTTGGTAAAACAAGATAAAAGTGGCAAACGGGAACCCACTTGGGAGCAACACTGGAATCTCAGCACCAGTACTGCTCTGCTGAGATCTTGTCCAAAATTAAAGTTTGGCACAAGAAAGACAGACCATACTGCAGTCATCCAGGGTGGCAGATTAAGATTTTCCCAATGTTCACCTTTATTCTCAAGACAGCATTATATTCTAAATGGAACTGCACTCAGGAAGGATGGTACCATTTTCCAATCTGGATACCAATGATTCTCCCGCGTTGGGTCAGCAGGTGTGTAGCAAACGCACCCCGAACGGTACCGTGCCCAACAAACCGCGGTGAAATCAGAGCAGCACCGAACGCCCACCTGGGTCTGAAAGTGGATTTCAATCTAGTGTGAAACTCCACTTCGCCTCGGGCCTTTCTGCACACAGCGTAACCCAAAATCAAGACTCCTTCCGACATGTGAACGTGAAAGAAGAGGTGAACTGGAAGTTTGAGGGGAAATAAAAACTGTGACCAGCAACACTGGCAGCTTCATCAATGGAACTAAAAGAAAAGCTAAATCCTTTTGAGTGGGTCTGAGAAATAAATCAGAGGCCAACAATGCTGGTTCCACAGCGTCATTCTAAAACAGGACTGTGACCGACAGATCTCCTTTTTGAAAAGCTCAAGTTTTACCCTGTGTAACTGCTAATTAGGCACAGGAAAGAAAGAGGGGCAGTGAAGAACACACCCAAACAGGAACTTAACAGGGAAGCACACACTGCCAAATACTGTAATTGATGATCTTTCAAGTAGCTGTGGTGTGAAGTGTTTAAGGATTTTAACCATTTTCAAGTAAAGCCTACGAGAAATGCTTGGGCTATCAATGTCCTTCATCAAGTCTGACAACCGGATAAACTTATTTGTATTTATAGCTTTCATGCTTCAACTTGTAATGTGAAGGTGAAGACACATGCGATGTTCATGGAAAAGCAGAACTACCAGCGTATTTTTCTATACCTGCCATCGTGGTTTGATTTAGTGATTCCGTGCTTCAAGGCAACTAAAACTGAGTGATCAGAAAATTACACTGCAACACGATTTTGTTTCTCGTGGTTTCAAAGACCCATACAGAAAGGAAAAAAAAAAAAAACAAACGCACTTGCGTTCATAAACTCAAACTGGTCGTTACAAGCAAGGAAAAGTTTGTTGCTACAGAATTAAAATGAAGACACTCCCTTTCAACCAGTAGGATTTTTAATGGAGAAGGAATATAATTTTGTTCTTTAAACAGCAGGCACAGGCAAGTTGATAACTGAAGAACACATTTTCTTACATATTTGTCAGTTAGGAACTTGAGATGCTGCCACGTTACTGTGGGGGGCTATTAGTGGTGTACCACAAGCTCTTTGCTCTACGAGAAGCATGATGCAGAATGGAAACATCAGCAAGACAGCACGCACTCCTGGTAAGCAAAACATGCGTCAGCTCAAGATAAACTCTTTAAAAAGAGGACTTCAGTGAAGTAGGTTTTGGTACTATAACATTCAAGTGAAGACTTCTGACTAGTTTTAAAGGTAATGATGGAGAATGAGTACACTAAAAAGTGCAATATTAAATTCTGTCACTTTCAGTAATGCAGTCACAGATCCCTTATTGATGTTCAAGTCGGAAAAAGAAGAATGATAAGACTGTGGACATTTATTTGTCGTAACACTCCTAAATCTTTCACGTCTTCACAACTGCTTCACCAAGCAGATGGGTAATGCTTTTTGTTGAAGCACAGTAGATTAATCCAGTCTTCTCTTTCAGGAAATTCTGGAATAGTCCCTTGAAAATACCAAGTTTTTGTCTTATTTCTTGGGATTTTTCAATCAAAGAACTTCTGCAAAGCAAGTATTTAATAGAAACCAGAAATGACTCTCTGAACTGATGGTCTTACAAAACTGATGATCCACTTCCAGATGACTTCCGAATATCTGACTTCCAATTATTTTCTTCAGTAGTTTCTGCAGGCACATGAATTGCACCTGCTCATGACTTAAACTTCTTTGAGAAGGAAAGAAATAATTCAAGAATTTGTTGGAGAAGAGCTGCACATTGTGTAAAAACAAAAAGTACACTTAAAATATGTACTACTTGTTCATTACCATGAAAACCGTTAGCAGCCGAGGTTTTCAAGGAAGAGTTTAGTGTTCTCAAACTCAGATGAACTCAGTTATTCATCTTACGCTTAAAGTCTAGAATCCTATACAAAACAAGCACGCAGGTAGACTCTTCTTAAAATTGGTGCATGGAGGAAAGGAAACTGCTTTATGCAGACTCCAGAAGCAGATCAGAAGACTAGCCCGTCAATAAAACGTAGTAAAATAAAATGTGAACCGCCTTGCAAGAAGATCTGAATTTGAGAAGATTCTCGGCTTCAGAAAGGATCAGAACCAAACCAGGCTAGTCATGTTTTTCACGTTGCTTATTCCGTTTTTTGGTAAGCCATGTCATCACAAAACAGGCAAACTTGGCCAAAGAGAGAGGTAAACAGGCACTTCCGAGAACAAAATCAGTTGTTTCTTCCTCAGAAGATGACATCCAAGTTGTTAGCTTGCACAATTGAATACAAGACTAACTTTAATCTTGGAAAATGTTTTAATACATTAGTATTCAAGTCCACTGCTATAGAACAAAGTGTTCTTCATACTGGCATACACTGCCGAAGATCTTTCACACAGCAGCCTTTGCATATCCGTGCACTTTCTAGCGAATGAGTCTCTTATGTCAAACCTAGAAAGTAAGATTTGGGGTAATTCAGCAGTTCAAAGCAGTTCAACGTAGGCCTGGATTTTCATGAAATGTTAAGAAGCCAGAAATACTCATGGAAACAATAATATTTTCTTGGTAAAGGAAGACAAAAACCCCTGATATTTTAATGTTTGCAGGAATTCATAAACCAGACGTGTCCATTGCACATACCTATTTACTTGCTCTTTTCTGCCTGTACATTTGTATCATTCTTTGACGGAAAACATCAAATGCATCTTCTTTATTTTCTTCCCCTGCAACACCCAAGCCCTCCCCTGCAGAGGTAGCACCCCTAGGGAGTAAAATGAATAGTTAGAACACTCTGTTTCTGTTACATTTGACAACGTGCAGAAGAGATCTAAACAATAGCTTCCAACATAGACACAATACAAGTGGAGAGTAATTCTGCTTCATTTGGGGGGAGAAGGGGAGCGAAGGCTCCGTACCTGGTCTACCTGATCAACTCTAAAACAATTCCCACCTCCCATTACACATGCAAATACCCACCAGAAGAAAATGCTCCTATGATATTAACGGAGCAGTGAAGATATAGTCATCTAACAGATCAAATTCTTACGTGAACTCTTGTATTAACCACTTTATTCGTGGTAGGTAGGATCCTCTGTTGAAAACATGGCAAAAATGCCTTGTGTCTTACATTTAAAAAATGACAGAAGTCAGACACGCTCAGGAATGAGGAGGAAACACCACATAACTCTGGATAAAAGATGAAATTTTTAACCAAGGGAACGTAATGCTGCTTGCTTAAATTTTCTAGCACCCAAAGCAAGCTGGAGCCTTGCAGGAGACACACCACAGACAAAACCTGGAGCTCCTGCCCTTCCAAGAAAAATGAGTCATTAACTCATCCCCCTTCATCCAAACACGCCAACAGAAGCAGACAGGTCTCAACAATATCAAAACAACCCTCTGCCCTGGAAGTAGATGGAGAGGATGGCCCACAAGAATGCAGAGATACGAATAATTAAAATCCACCTCTTTCTCCAGGATACGTGCATAGAATGTAGACATTACAAAGCTCAGATGAATGAAACCTCTGCCACAGGAATGATCCTCTGTGCCAGTTTGATCCTCTGGGTCAGTTACATTTGTATTATCTGTTAAAGATTTCACTATGTGACGTAAGAAAATTTAGATTGCCTTGTAGTGAAATTGGGATCGCTGTGCTATCAGCGTAGAATCTGAGGACCTTAAGTAGAATAAAGAAAAATCATTCTTATCTAATTTCTGTAATCTGTCCACTTAAGCCAAGTAGATAGCTGTGCAATCCTAAAAGAACGTTCAGACTTTAAAAAGCAAATTCAACTTTACAGTCCACAGTAGAAACCCTGTGCTGTCTCTTCTTCTGAATGGTACCAGACTCTGACTTGGGAGCTTTGCTGTTTTAATCTTTTATAGTACGACCTGCTTGAAGCAGACTCTTCATTTGCTGTTTCCATTACACAACAGCTGCTTCATACTTCCAAACAGGAAGAACAGACTTTTTATTTACACTACAGTTCCTTTTCTAGATTACTTTCAGAATTAAAAAACCTAATCAGAGACATGAGATAATTACTCAGAGGAGGGTCTATGCCATAACAGTGTTCAGCCTTTGAGTGCGTTTTGGTTGGTTTTGTTTTTAAAACATCTCTTGAACCATGGAGTTGGTCAAACCCATAGCTGTGACAAATTAGTTCTCAAGACAAGGAACAGCTCACAAGACTAAGACGAAACTCCACTTAAAATCTCTGGATCCATTCTTTCCATAAGGAGTCGCCATGCAATCCATGCATCTTTTACAGTAACAAATAAAAACCTCCCCAAACCTGCAAATATGACTTGCTCTCACAGCCAAAGACAAGCTTTAAGCTTTCCTAACAAAAAAGGGCCTCGAGTTTCTTTGCCTAACAACTGATGTGCTTGAATACATCAGTTTTAGATATCAGTGTTACACAGTGATCTTGAGATGCTCTGCACTAGAACTGCAGTGTCTCCAATTAGTGATCTATCCCCTTTTGCTGGAGAATGAGATTAGACTCTGCACTGTATCAAAGCAACTAACAAGAGAAAGGAAAATGTCGAATTGCACTGGTTTCATCCTCACTGAGACTGCCCCAAAGCACTGTCCAAAGAATGACTTTGATGGGAAAGTAAAGAGAGGTTCACGCCGTGAAAATAATCAATAATATGGAGTTCTCCCCACGTTACAGAAAAGGTCAACAAGTTTTTGTAAGAGGTACAGGAAGCAGTTCTTCACTACTCTTTGCAGGTGTCTTTACCAGAGTGACACACAATGGACTCAAGCTGGAAAAACTGTATTTTCACATATTAAAATGCAGTTTTTTAAGATGGCCAAAAACTTTCAGAATGTGGTGGGCTAACTTTCAGATACAATTAAACAGCTCATGATTAGCTGTGCAGCAAAACTTGTGCCAGGAGCTACAGAAACAAAAAAAAATTACTTATCTATTTGGTCCCAAAATGTTTTGAGGTTAAGAATCAAAGTTCTAACACTGGTGAACACAAAAGAGCTACAGGAGAAGTAAGCTGATTTCTCATTGTCTGTTTGCTGCTGCTGAAGGAAATTTAGAAAATATAGTGACGGCCACTGGACCACAGGGAGCACAAAGGAAAAAAAGAAAGCAAACAACCAGAAGTACCCCACCAACTAAAATGACCAGTACTGTCCAAGGCATGAAGAGAAAATAGAAATCCCTGGAGAAAGAAGACTGTTAAACCACAGACTACGTGTAGGGACTAGAAAGCTTGTCATATGGGTTCAGAGAGAAATAAATAGTTTCTGCCTCCTTATTCAGTCAGGGAGTTGAAGGAGGTAATATCCATTCTCCGTGCTGGCAGCAGTGGACACTGGATGCAGCTACTTTAAAAGACAAAATGAAGATTCCAAAACAAAGTGTATTTTAAAGGAAAAAGCACACTTACCTTCTGGCAGGTGCACTTACCTCTTTCAGTGTGCAGTGGAATGAATCACATAATTAGAGTGAAAAATAAATTTGTTGCCTAAACCAAGGAGTACTGTGCATGACATTTCCTAAAGTCTATTTATGTGTGATGTACCTGGCGTGGTAGCAAGGAGATCCCCAGGATAATACTAAGTGTTAAAAAACCCCTAAATACACCAACCAACAAAAAAAACCACCTCCTGAACAACAGGGGCACCCATATAGCTTTAGAAAGTGTCCACACACTGCAGCATTCACGCTGCAGCCTTCAGTGACGTCAAACTGGATGGCAAGAAATGGCCACCTTCCAGACCAGACTTTGCCCAGCCTGGCTGGAGAAACGCGTGAAGTCTCCACGCTCAACTTTGCTGAGGCCAGAGGCCAACGTCAAGACGGGAACAAAACACTGAACTGGCCACATCTAGGTGGGTAAGATAAATATAGTTACTATTAGAATCCCAGCCTTTTCCAGAGCTGTCAAATTTCTGTAGTGTGTTCCCATTACATACACTTTTACAGGCTCTCTGATTCCTTTTCCTCGTGTACCGAGGCCATGTCCTTCTTGCCAGCCCATCTTCTGAAGCATCTGGAAACCCACATTCCTGTTTGTCAGTTTCTTGTGCGAAAATTCTAAATCTTTTGGTTTCTGTAGAGAGGAAAAAACAGAAAAACAGTGTGTTTTTTTGTGATACAGGGAGATCATGTATTAAAAATCTCTCAAAAAAACCCTATAAACTGTGTTTTAATTTCTCGATATACAGAAATATCTTCTGAGCAGCACTTCACTAACTACACAGAAAAAGTCTATCAAAGACTAAATATCTGCTTTGCCAGTTTAAAAGAAAAAAATTAACATTTATTTCGGGTTGTCAAATTGTTTAATTACATTATTAAAATAGCAAAGAGTACACATTCATATTTTAAAAGGTATTTAGAAATATTGAATGATCTGATGACTGAATCCCTGTTACTAATACAGACGCAGTCAAATCTCACCAATTTGGGAAAATTACAACATATTTTCCTCACAGCAATACGCTGATTTCTTCTTTTTTTTAAAAAAAAAAAAGAAGACAAGATTAACACAGTGCTGTTCAATAGTGCTCTAATCATAAAATGTTTAATTTAGACACAGGTAGTTAAAAGACAACAGGAGCCATGGCTCTCCTCAGGTTTAGTCCAATCTTTTTCAGGATCAGACTTTGCAGGTTTTAATTCGATTTTACGACAACACCACATTTGCAGAGGCCGTGTCTTGTAAAGACAGCTGATTCTCAGAATGGTGACAAACCAGGAGAGTTCTTTACCTTCTTCTTTTTTGTAACTGGGCAACCACGAGGCCTATCGTAAGCAATTCGGACAGGTTCATGCACTGCAAGTCAAATCAAAGACAAAATTCAGCTGTAAAGAAAAACAATTTTAATACAGAACTCCAAACGTAAATCTCAAGTGGGACTCTAACTCAATGCCTTGGCCTAAAATCGGAACCAACAAAAAAAGATCAGAATGAAAAAAAAAAAAAGGAAAGAAACAGAAAGACCTTTTTCTCCCCCTCCACCACAAAAAAGGTAATTAGAACATGTGTGTATTTCATTTTGGACATATTATGCCAGCAACACACTGATGGACGATATGCTGTAAGGACTTCAGATCTTTCATTGCCCTGAGCTTCTGTAATATTCTGATAGAAAATTCAGACTGGGCTTAAATGAGGTTATTTATATATAATTTGCATATTACAAATGACAACCTTTAACAATAAAAAACATTATGTAAAGAAAAGCCATTTGTTAAAGCAGCTGCAGAGCACATGTAATCAGTTTTAAGCTACTTATCTCTCAGTTCTTAGAATATCTTGACCCACCCCTGTTGTGGCCATACTGACAAAATTTGACAGGCCAATCCAAAGTCTAAATATATTTAGTCAAACACTCAAATACGTTCAGTGCTATACTTAAGTCTGTTAAACCTTCCATATGCGGATAAAATAAACCCTGCAAAAACTACTACGGTGAGTTTTTTAAGCAGCAGAGAGGGATTAACATTCACATATACTTCAAGAATATTTGAGGAATTATGTTTGATGTGAACTTTGCTATTGCACTATAGCACAAACATTGTTACACAATTTATTCAGATTCCTCTTTGTCAGTTCAATGAACCTGTAAAGCGAACATTGTATTCATTTTTGTATTCAAGAAATGTAATTCTTTTAGCCAACAACAGTCAGTAACAAAGTACATAAAAATCAGGAATTCTTTACTGATACCTACAAAACATCTTTTAAGGAACTCTTACCTTTTGGTTCTTCTATGAGGCAAATCCTTTTAGACGCAGGAATCATACCGACTTTCAGAGACTTGCTGCTGATTCGTTTGCGAGGGAAGAGGGTACCAGGAGCGGGAGCTGATGCCTGTGTCGACAGATTTGGTATAGCACCATCAGATGATGTGGCTAGCTGCATGTCACCTGTTGGCATTTCCTCTCCTGTTTTGGAAATCATCTCTTCAGCTAGGTTTTCCACACTTCTACCTGCTGAGATGTCATCCTCTTCTCCCTCCTCTGCTTGCTCCATTTCCATCTCTTCCAAAGGCTGGGAGATATCCTCCTCAAACTCAGCTTCCTCCTCGTTATCTTCTTCCTCTTCTTCTTCTTCCTCCTCCTCCTCTTCTGAAATATCCAAATTTCTCTCTTCAGGTTTAGAACCTTCGCCAGCATCAGTTGCTTCTGACACAGCACTGAAGTTAATAGATGGACATAACTCATAGACTTTCATTCGGTAAAATTTGAAAGCAGAACTGTTTCGATCCTGTAGAAACCTGAGCAAAAATTACAGTGAAAATAATATCAGAAAGAGATTTTCTTTAGGTAGCATGAAGCAAGACATTAGAAATAGATCTCGTTCATTTCTGAATGGTCATTCCAGGTGTGTTTTTTTAGGATTCTCCAACAACATATACTAAGAACAGAAATCATTCTCCTCAGTTCTTACAGACTGATTTTTATCAGCACTTCTCAAACTGCATTGTAAAAAATTCAGTAGAATTATCTTCATTATATAGATGGAGAAACTTTCTATCTTCATTATATAGATGGAAACCCCAGAAGAGAATTCAGGTCTTCCACGTTTCCATCACGCGGTCTATGTAGGAATAGGTGCATTGATTCTGGGAGACAGGAGAGATAATAGGGCTCCATTTTTGTTGGCACAGTATGATTATAAAAAAACCCAAACTGCTAATTTACACTGGAGCACTTAGGCCATTGTAATCAAAGCCTCACTTAAAAAAATAACAAGACTGAAAATACTTTGGCAGAACACTGTTTCGAGATGTAAGCTGATTACTTAGGATATAAAAGAAAAAAAATACATGTATCAGCGCACATACACATTTGGGAGAAGTGTTTTTCTTTCTTAGGTATTTCAGAATTCCCGATTTTTACGTACTTTGTTACTGACTTATTGGCTAGAAGAATTACATTTTTTTTTAATAGAAAAATAGAGATTGTTTTAGCGTATTATATCTTGGGGCCTACTGGGACTGCAGTAAGTTACCCATCAGTCAAATGTCGTTACTAATTGTGTCATCTCCATGTAGTGCTCTGTATGTTGTGGATCTGAAGAAGTTCAGAAAGATAGCAGCTGGAGATCGACTCAGAGGACAGTATCAGGGTCTTAGTCAGGATCCTAACAGTCTGTCCAACCTGGATCAGGTGTGTTTTTCTTGTGTTTGGTTTATTTTGTATTACAGGGGTATGATGACAGGTTGGGACCTCTCCTTTCCTGGGCAAACTTCAATCACAGCCAGATGCCTCACGGGGACAAACATTTTAGCAGGACCTGTTGCGATAAGACAAGGGGCAATGGCTTTAAACTAAAACAGGGCACATTTAGACTAGATATAAGGAAGAAATTTTTTACAATGAAGGTGGTGAGACACTGGCCCAGGTTGCCCAGAGAGGTGGGAGATGCCCCATCCCTGGAAACATTCCGGGTCAGGTTGGACGGGGCTCTGCGCAACCCGATCTGGTTGAAGATGTCCCTGCTCATGGCAGGGGGTTGGACTAGATGGTCTTTAAAGGTCCCTTCCAACCCAAACCGTTCGATGATTCTATATTCACCATTAATGGAGGTGCTGAGCAGGACAACAGGGAGCATTGCTCAAAATCCTCTGTTCCTAAACACATTGAATAAAAGCATACATCTCAACGAACAATAAAAGGAAATACCTCCTTAGTAATTGGTTAGATGCATTTTGATTTTTCTAATCGGCCCATTTACACAGATAAAAGTGTAGGTTACTCACCAAAGGTCTGGGTTGTCTGCACTGTTGTCTATGCTGAACTGCTCAATTTCTGGTCCTACCTGAGCAACAAATTTGGCAAGCTTCTCAGCTGTCTCCATTGTTTTAGCATCCACTGCAAGAAACAATGCTCGTTATCTATAGCTTCATACAAAATCTGCATCACTGGAAGTTCAGTACAGCTGATTATTACCCACTTTAGCAAAATAAATGATTTTTTAGAATTTCCAGCAGAACATTCTATGCAATTCTTTTCTCATATAATTTGCAATTTAAAATCTAATCTTAGATCTTCACTTACCATCAGGAAATTGAGAGGACAATGGTGGGAAAAGTTCAGGCGGTGCTAATAAATCCTCAGAATCTGCCCTTTCTTCTGCTGGCAGAGAGACCTCTGAACCGGTGGCACACTGTGAGGATGAGGTGGTATCGAGGGAAGAATTCTTCTCAGACAGGCTGGTTTCTGATACAGAAGGCTTTGACTGGACTGAACCTTGAAGTTGTTTGTCTTGGTGCTTCAGCACTGTGCCAGCTGAAAGCACCGTCTGTGTCCCTATGGTTGCTCTCTTCACCTTCCTTCCTCGAATACCATGTTGTGTGATAATTCCAAGCCTTTTTCTTTTAAATAGCCTTCTCTTAATACTTGCGACTTTCCTGGCATACAACATGGCCCTGACTGATTCTGTTGCAGATTCTTCTAGTGTTCTGCCCTCGCCACCCGCTTCCTTCCCAGCTGATGTCCGCCTCTGCATCTCTGATAACTTCAGTCTGTAATACTTGTATTCTAGACTATCTTCATCAGACAAGAACCTAAATAAAAATCACATAAATAAAAGGAAAGCCTAAGCTGAAAGCACAACTAATCTCAAATTCTCAGATCATAAACTAAGCAGCAATTGATTCTTTTTTCCAGGGGTATATACAAGTTGCTACATTAATGTTAACCTGCATAGCTTTTTCTCAGAGTATATAGCCAACTCTGCTTCTAAAGCAGCAAGTAAAGTACGCCAAGCAAATAAATGATGGAGGGTATTGACATAAAGCATTTGGCTAGTAATTAATCAGCTATCCTGCAATTCACACGTGAAGAGATAGTGTCATATTAAAAGATCATTACTCATAGAGCACTAGATCCATAAGTCTGTTACCTTACTATACGTTTATATTAACTATGTTTGCTTACTATTTTCATCTTGTAAACGTGAATTGCTTTTAACATCTTGTATTTGGATTGACATACAGTCATTACTGACTCTCAAAAGGAACGTGATCTATTAGACAAAACAGAAGCAACAGGACAATTTCTAAGGGTATCAGGAAGTATAATTAGCTTAGGAAACATTTTCAAAAAGTCTGACTAGGCTTTGATCTTACACCCATTGAATGAAGTACTGAATTTAATTAAATGCATTCCAAATATCTTCATTAGAGAATAGTATTATAACATACTGTTCAAACACACCTACCAATATTCAGGACAGTTCTTTTGAGCATTTCTCTCTTTGGCAGACAAGGTTCCTGAAACAATGCTATTCACTAGCTGTTCAATTGTCTCTACAACCTTCCGATCAGCTCGCTGCGGGGCTGTAGGAAGAAATAAAATGCAGTCATTGTATTATTCTCATCAACAGAGCACCAATATGTCATCTTTTTTATTCTTTGACACACATTTGCATTTTCAGCCTATTAATACAAAAAAGGCTGCACTTAATACTAGGATAAATTGAGGAAACCTCAGAAACTTTCTGACTGTTTTCTAAACTTAGATTCTAGAACAGTTTATTATGAGAAGCACTGTGTTTTAAGAAACTTATCCTTTGCCATCCTGGGCAAGTCAAGCCATCTTTTAAAAGGCAATTGTGTATAGCACCAAAAGGATTTTGTGCAAAATAAGTGTAGTTGAGCACTACTCTGAAGGGGTGAGTTCCAAATTATTAGCCATTCAGTGTCAGCGCTGCCAAGACCTCCCTGTGGAAGTATCTGAAGTTCAGTTCGGAAAAATCAGATGAGTATAGCAACGAGTAAGAATGCTTTACAGAGGATGAACTAGATGGCGTAATACAGTAGAGGAGATGGCATTCCTGTAGATGGTAGAATATAAACAACTTCTAAGAAATACGCCTGCATCTGATAAAAGCAGTAATGGTAACATCTCCGACTTCGTTTATATGCAAATACTTACTCTGTGATGCAGCCAGTTACAGCTGTGGTCCTGGCCTCCCTACCTCGAAGTGGTGCAGCTGGAGGGTAGGGCAGCTGAAGCAGCCAAGGGCACAAGGTGAAAATCCTAGATTTAAAGTATAAGCATGTGCAGGAGGGGGGAGGAAGGAGACGTGCTTTCATCCACAAAGCTGAAAGCGACTGCTGCAACAGACAGTATTTACTACCTGCCTCAGCACTGCTAGGGATTTACATGGAATTCCCAGAATTAGGAATTCCTGACCTAATGAAACCATAAAAATTAAGATACAATGCTAGAGACAAATAAAGAAATGCTATATGGCAGAGTATCTCACAACAGTTCACTCACTTTTAACTTTTGTGTCAGGAGAGGGTTTATTAAGCTGTACTGTGGACTCCGGTTCAGTTTTCTTCATCTGAATTGGATACCCACTCTTCTCCAACCAAGCCTTCAAGTTTTCAATGTACTCTCTTCCAAACAATGTTGAATCATCAAAGTTTGGGAATAGCGTTGGTGCTGGCGCCATTTCCTGGAGCCCTACAGCTTCAAGTATTTTCTCTTGCCTAAAAACAGATGCTAGCGCAAAGGTCTGACCCAGAAGGGCTAAAGACTTACGACAAAGAGAAACAGTGGTCTCGAAAGCACTTGCCATTTCTCTTGGATTACCAAAACCACTTGTCTTAATGCTTAACTCGTAAGCATTGCAGGCCATAAGCAGCGGCGTAACACCTTTTAGGAGGCGGTCTTGTAGCCTCATTATGTATTTATCAAAAGGTTTTATTATTTCAAAGAAGCAGTTCTTTGTTTTCACAGCACCCTTGTCCAACAGCATATTTAAAAACTCATTGTCCACTTTGGGAGTTTTCAGAGCAGCATGTTGTAAACTCTTGATAGTAAAGAAACAATAATCTCTGTGTTCTGGCTTTAGGGAGCATTTGAAAGAAGCAAGCATTTTTGCACAGGTTTCTGTCTCTAGCTCAAAGAGAGCTCCAAAGAGACGGGAAAATTCTGCATCATTTTTTATTGCATGAAACCCAGCCCATTTTATAATTTCTATTCCAAACGTTGAAAAAATGTCCGATTTGTCCACAAGGTCAAAATTGAGATTTCTGAAAACATGCGCAGGTTTTGGGAGCCTGAGAATAGGTCTCTGGGTTGCTATAGCTGGCCTCTGATTAGGTCGTGGAGGCAATTTTTGATTAGGGCGTTGGATGGCCACCGGCCTCTGGTTCGGTCGTTCAGCAGTTTCTGGCATTTGATCAGGTTGCATAGCTGGCTTCTGATCAGGGCCTGGTGGCAGTTTCTTAGTGTTCCATTTCTTTAGGGGAGTTTTGATATCTCCTTTGAATACTTTAGTTTTAACAGCACCCCGTGCAATACGCTTTCCTCGCAGAGCTCTTCCCCTGCCAATGTTGCCCCTCCGTATTGGGGGTCGGAACTCACTGTCAGATTGAATTCCAAAGTCTACGTCATACTCCTGATTCTCCATGTTGCCATATTCATCTTCCATTAGTCCTGGTGATCTAAAATCACCTAAAATATCTGAAGAACTAAAGTCAGTTTCATGTGGTGCGGTGGATTCCCAAGAGTCAGGAGGGCCATAGTCCTGGTCATGAGGAGCCAGACCCCCATACTCCCGGTCATGGGAAGTTGGGCGTCCATATTCCCGGTCATGGGAAGCCGGGTGTCCATATTCCCGATCATGAGATCCTGGGCGTCCATACTCCCGGTCATGCGAAGCTGGACGCCCATACTCCCGATCGTGCGAAGCTGGACGCCCATACTCTCGGTCATGAGTTGCCGGGCGGCCAAATTCCCGGTCACGAGATGCTGGGCGGCCATACTGTTCGTGGTAATAGTTATCTTTCCTCATGAGGGGACTAGTAGGTCTATAAGAAGGTCCTGGGTAGTCATCTCTAGGGTCTTCACTCCAATCATCATGTGGATGGTGCTGGGCGTTGTCATGAGCGTATCTTCCATCATCATGAAAACTGTCTTCGTATCTTGGTCTTGGGACTGGCCTTGAATGAGCTGTAATGAGAAAAACATAAATACACCAATGCACTGCAAGTAGTATTAAGAAGAAAATTTAATAAACACATTTAGACACTTAAAAGAGTCAACAAATCAAAACTTCTGAAGAACAGCACACATATCTAACTTCAGGTTACTCCCATTTGCTTTCTTACATACATTGAACAATTCATAATAAGCAAAAAGCAACAAATGATTAACAATGCCTAAACACACATGACAAAAGTTTATTAAAACTTCTACTCTGACTAAAGCTGAAACGTAAATTCTGCTACAAACCCCATTTTCTACTTACTCACAACTTTCTCAGTCGAGCAAGATGCTAATGTTGTGCTCATAATGCTTCTACTTGGATTTCTCAGATGCAGAAATATCAAAAGCATGCACTTTCTGTTTCCACACTGAACCGTATGTTCTACAAACTCATACACAATTATCTAAGATAACATTAAAGCCAGAAATACTAGAATTTACTGCAAAGCATCCAATAATCCCTATTCCTTAATGCTAGTAGTCAAATTCAGAAAGTAAAGAATACTTGAACAAATTAAGTATTTAAAATAAGTTATTTCTTTGGAGCTTACACAGCTTTAAGAAAACAGAAGAGATCTCATTTTAAGACTCTCAATTTCCTACGAATGTAATCCAGGTTATTTTTCTAGACATTTTAAATATCAAATTTAGAAGAGAAAAGAAATTGCAGATCACGTTTTGTATACATTCACCAGATTAATGTCCTGCTTTTAACTTTTTCTCCAAAAAGAACATGAAATACAAAGACCCAAAGGCTTCAAATGCACTCCCACACTGATTTGATTTATCAGACCTCAACAGAATTCCATCCTGCAGCGATGCCTCTGGAGACCTCCCTGAAATTGGACCCACTCTCTGATGCAGCCTGAACAGAATTCCTTTGTTTGAAATTCGGGTTTTTTGCCTGGAATTTGCATTCCACGTTGAAATAGTGTCAGTCATACCAAGCTATTAGCCTCTTAAATAAAAATGGATGTGGAAAAACACCAGCACCAGTCCACGTTTTAGGCAAATATACGTAAATGGAAGGCAAGAAATCTAACATAGCTGTTACCAGAATAGCTGGTGTAATTCACGGCACGTCATGCCCGCGCTTCATTACCTTTAAAATGATGGATTGTGTCCTCTATAGCATCGCTCCGCTCCATGCGATACCTTTTAACTTTGTCCTGCACTACAGCATCAAACGACTCCCGTGTGATCCGCCGAGAGGCCATTTTTATCCTGTAGCAAAACAGCACAATGCCGTCCCTGCCCGGG